CCCTATATCCCACAGGGTCCCAGTCCCCCCGTCCAGGGTCCCAGCTTCCCCTGGAGGGGCACAGCCCCCCCCTGCCCAGGGTCCCAGGCACCCTGGAGGGCCACAGTCCTGCCCAGGGCCCATAACTTACCTTTAGCAGCAGCAGCGGGAGTGGAGTGCTCTGAGCCATGGCGGCAGGACCTGGCCCAGCATGAGGTTTCCGCATGCTGCGTCGGGTCCTGCCACCAAGGGCCCGGCCTGGCTGGGCAGGAGGGCCCTAGGCCATTTATACCAGTATCTGCAGTTAAAATTAATTTAAATAAATTTAGTCATAAGTATGACCAAGTATGACTTGGTGGTGGATGGATCATACTCGACTTGGGGGGAGGTGGGTAGTGGAGTCCCCCAGGGCTCGGTCCTGGGGCCTGCGCTGTTCAATTTCTTCATCAGCGATCTTGATGTTGGGGTGGAAAGCAACCTGTTTAAATTCGCTGATGACACCAAAATTTGGGGGGAGGTGAGCACGCTAGCAGGGAGAGAGAGATTGCAGAAGGATCTGGATAGGTTACAGGGGTGGGCAAACAGGAACAGGATGTGTTTCAATACGGACAAGTGCAGGGTGCTGCACTTGGGTAGTAGGAACCAGCAGCACACTTATACGATGGGGAACTCCCTACTTGAGAGCACGGAGGCGGAAAGGGATCTTGGTGTCATTATTGACTCCAAGATGAACATGGGCCGACAATGCGAGGTCATGGTTGGCAGGGCTAACCGGACCTTGTCGTGCATCCACAGGTGCATCTCGAGTAGAGCCAGGGAGGTGATCCTCCCCCTCTATGCGACGCTGGTCAGGCCGCAGCTGGAGTATTGTGTCCAGTTCTGTGCGCCCCATTTCAGGAGGGATGTGGACAACATGGAGAGGGTCCAGAGGAGGGCCACCCGCATGATCCGGGGACAACAGGGCAGACCCTACAGTGAGAGACTGCGGGACCTGAACCTATTCAGCCTCCACAAGAGAAGGCTGAGGGGGGACCTGGTGACCGTCTATAAACTCACTAGGGGGAACCAGAAGGGTTTGGGGGAGATGCTGTTTCCCCTAGCCCCCGCTGGCATAACAAGGAGTAATGGGCACAAGTTGACGGAGAGGAGGTACAGATTGGACATCCGAAAAAACTACTTCACAGTTAGGGCGGCTAGGAGCTGGAACCAACTTCCAAGGGAGGTGGTGCTGGCCCCTACCCTGGGGATCTTTAAGAAGAGGCTGGATACCTACCTGGCTGGACTCATTTGAGTCCCATTTTTTTTGTTTAGGGCTCTTTTCTTGTTCTCCCGCCCTGGCGGGGGGTCGGGCTAGAAGATCTATTAGGTCCCTTCCAACCCTAAAACTATGAAACTATGGAAGAAAACAAAAAAAGGGGGTAGCATGTCAGATATGCATACCACATCTTACAGAACTGATTTATATAGCAGACACATTTTTATATTCATATACCCAAAAGCTATATTCTATATTAAAGTGTTGAAAGGATATTAGGTTACAAAGACAAACCTGTCAACACTGGGAAATGCCAAGTTTACACATCTAACTGTGCAACTTTATGTTGCCTATCTACTACATCCAACCTGCACAATGAATGAGGAAGCAGCCATAGAAAGAAAGTTGTATGTGAACATTGCATTAAAGATCATAATGCATATGCATAAGGAAAATGAACTAGGGATTCATGAACAACTATGACTCAGGCATTCCTTAACTTTAGTTTGCAAAGTCAAACAGGCAAAATAACATTATGTAAAAAATCTTAAAATGGGGTTTCCTTGAGGTTTTTTCCTCCAAAAGAACAAAGATAAAAAAAAAGTTTTCTTAGGTGCTTTCCTATAAGGGAGTATTTAAACCACAGTTCTTTAGCAAGGACTTCTACCATTTGAACTACAGGATGAATGAGATCAGGTGGCAGCAGAATGCCATTATCCTCCAATGGCAGAATGTGACTCTGGTGCTATATGCTGGATTCAGCCTGGTGCTCTTATCCACTTTCTAGCAGTAGGTGAGGGACTACTAGAGGCATCACATGTAGCAGGAGGGGTGAGGTGGAGGGAAGCGTCAAGATGAAACAGGGAAGTCACACTGGGTTAGGAAGACAGACACAGGAAAGCAGCCTAACTCCTCTCTCCTCTGTACTACCCTTGAAGTTAATAAATTTCTCAGCTCATGTGATACTCTCAGACTGTGGTGGCAATGAGTCCCTAGAGTTGCATAGGAGGGACTGAGTGAGAAAGGTAGCCAAGCTGACCTCTTCCCCTGCACCCCTTGCTCTTGTTAGAGCTGCTCTGGCCTGCCCAGCATGGTATCTGCCATCTCCACAGACCAGGGGCTGGGAGAACGTTTAGTGGCTTTGTGTTTGAGATAAGAAATGGTAATTTTTAATATTTTACAGTTGTTATAACAGAACATGTTAAAGGACTCTCTATAATGCATGGGCTACAGCATGGGCTACAAAATCTAAATTGCTACTCATCTGACACAGAGTCCCCATTACATCATCCTTCAGCTCATCCATACATTAGCTAAATGCACCAATACAATGCTATTTACTTTTTCATATTAAAGCCAGATTCAGCCTTCCTTTATCTCTACTATGCACTGGTGTTGATAGGAAGCAACATTGTGGTCTATGCTCTAGACCATATCCAGCCCATGGAGTCACTTCCTCTGGCCTACCGGGCTACCACTGGCTACTGGGAGCATCCTGTATCAGATCCAGTCTGCAAGGAGTCCCATGGTCCAAATCCAACCCAGAGTGAGTTTGACACCCCTGCTCTACAGACCCTTCCACAGGGACTTCTACTGTAGAAGCAACATCTGCCTGATGGCAAATGGAATGGGAAGCGAAGGGACAGAATTTTTTCTATTTTTCTTATATTGAACAGAGTCCATTGCACCTCCCTTATTCCTCTTCCTGACTAATATTGGAGGCCCATATTTACTATTAATAACCACTGACCATGTCTCCACTGCCTAGTCATCTGCTCTACCTGAACTGACAAACTGCACCAATCAATATGCTAGATGACTTTTGATAGACTAGGATTTGTAAGATTTTTTGTTATACAATTATATCAGAAGCTTCTCAAGTTGCAGTTATGAAATCTTCAATATTTAGCATGAATATACTTATTAAGGATATGTCTACAACCCAGACACTGCAGTGAGTGTAACATAGTGTGGAAATGCTAATGTCACTTTGCTACTGTTACCAGTCTAGCTGTCGCCCACTGGAGTTCAGTACAGGCTGGTTTATCCTGCTTCTTAGATAAATTGTTGGGTACAGCTGCTGTAACACATATGCTCATTTTATCTAGTCTAGACAAAGCTGAACAGCTTGTGACTGATAAGTTTCAGGGCCTTTTTTGCAGTTGGTTTGCCATTTCTACAAAAGGTTACTGTAATGCAGCTTAGTGCAGTGACAGACCTAATCTCTAGTCCAGTTCTGGGCAGTAGCCACTATTACAAAAAAGAAGCCAATTTAACATAATCAAATGTAAATGTGGTAGGGCAAGGATGCTCAACCCCCAGCCCACAGGCTAGATCCGGCCCACAGAGCCAAGCCATCTGGCCCGTAGAAGTCTCCACAGGTGCAAAAATTTGGTGGTGGGGGAGCGGTGACAGCAACTGCCATTCCCCTGCCACCAAATTTCTGCACTTGTAGGGAGCCCTACAGGCCAGACTAACAAACTAGATTGACACACAGAGGTGACCCACAGCCCATCCAGGTACACAAGGGCCGGTGGGAGCCAGCACAGGGCCCAAATTAGGTGGCATGGGGCTGAGGGCAGCAGCATGGAGTCCTGATTCAGCAGCATGGAGTCCTGAATCAGCTGTCAGCTTGAGGCCTGATCTGACCCACACCACTCATCTGGCCTGTGGCACCAAAAAGTTAAGCACCATTGTTGCACAAATTGGAGGGGGGCGGGGGATTAGAATAATAGAAAGATATGGCCGGGAGGGACATCAGGAGGTCACCTAGTCCAACCCCGCTGCTCAAAAGCAGAATCATCCTAGCCTACACCATCCAAATCAACCAGTGTTTGTTAACCTAAACTTAACACTGAATGTTAACCTTTCTAGGTAATCTGTTCCAAGACTAAATCATGCTCACAGTTAAAAAACCTGTCCTTATAGCTAATGTAAACTGCTCTTGTTGAAGACTTATTTATTGTCCTGTTTACAGACAGCAACTGGTCGCCACCCTCTTTATAACAACTTTCCGTTGTATAACAAACCCTTTTATATTTTATATCTGAAGGCTGTTATTAAATCGCTCAACCCCATCCTCTCAGCCAAACTTTAAAAAAATCAGTTGTTCCTTATATGCCATATTCTCTAAACCTCTAATAATCTGCTCTCCATCAGCCTTTTCCCATGGTGCCTACGTCTTGCTAGGAACGTGGTACACAACACTGGACACCCTACTCAAAGGTGCAGCCTCGCCACGGTACAAGAATGACTTCCTGTACACCTCGTGTATGACCCTCCTGTTAACACTGTCCAAGCCTCTACGGGCTTTTCTAACACACCAGCACACTGCTGACTTGTACTCAGTTTATGGTCCGCTGTAACTGCCTAAATTAATCTTCCCCTAACACCCACGGGCAGATCTAGGTTTTTGAAAAGGTCGTGGACATGATGAGATTCATCAACACATATAACACAACATATAATCCCCCACCCGCATCACGTCCTCACAGTTACCTTGAACGCCGCGGCCCGGACGCATCCGCGCAGAAAGGAGGCCTCCATGTTTTCGTGCGGCAGCAAAACCAGCCCCCCTTGGCGCGGAAACAACGCCCCGGCCGCAAGGGTTCCGCCCGCTCCTACGGGCCTCGGCGCATGCGCAGAAGGGCTCCTCCCCCGCCCTGGAACCAGGTCGTACTCCTGCCGCTGAGGAATGAATGTGGTTGTGAGGCGGGGTGCCGCAGCTTGCCTTGGAGAGCGGCTGTGGCAAAAAGCATCACCCTAAGGCCCCTGCTACACCTTCCATATATTACACAGTTCCTTGGGGGAGTCGCACAATAAATTTAGGCCATGCCTGTAAAGTCAGGCTGGCCCCAAGGGCAAAGTAACCTATCACACAACTAACTGGTGCATGGCACAGTGAGTGCAGACCTGCCACAGGTTCAAAGTACTTATCACGCAATTAACTGGTGCATCGTGCAATAAGCGCCCCACATGCGAAGTGCTTCCCACACGGTCACAAATTGCGTCTCCAGTTATAAAACGAGCCAACCAGCTCTAAAGTTAGTGCTCGGAAATGTGTAACAATTCCTAATCTGGTTTCTGCCCAGCTTTCGTTTGAACGTGGAGCAGAGCGCCAAGAGATCTTTGCCTCTGGCATAACTGAAAAGCAGTTGGGTTAAAAAAGGGCTGGGAGGGATCAGTTTGTAGGCAGAGACATGAAGAATGGTCCCCCAGGGCTTCCTGAAGCCTAGTAGAACAGCAACACCCACAGAACTATATTTTCACAGCACAGTTGAAACCAATGAGTCATGGCAGTGCAGGATGAGCAAATAAAACCCATTAGCCCACAGGTTGCAAATGGGAAAATTGCACTAGTGAGGCCTTACAAGACCTTAATTAGTTTCTCAAAGCACTCAACACTGGTAGACCCCTGATCTTGAAGACTGGAATTGCTGCCTAAATAGGTTATCCCAGGACATATAAACAATGTCTTTCTGAGCTAGGAGTAGTTCTCAGGATTCCTGACTTCGCATCCTGCCTTCATACCACTAGCTCCACTTTTTAATTTATCCATAAAGAGTTAAGTAGGCTGCTTGTTGCAGTGACTTTCTAAATATACTTTAAAAATTTATGTCACAAAAGCCTAGGAATCAGAGCATAGTAAATTCAGCTTGAAGACCTTCGAATTATAGTATATTTCATAATCAGAAAAATAGGATGAGACAGGACCTCAGGCCACATCTAACCCAACCCCCTGATCATGGCAGGTTCATTCTTGTCTAACTCATCCCAGGCAAGTTTTTAACTAGCCAGCTCTTAAACACTTTTACTGATAGAACATATATTTGTCAAATTCATTGTGCACTTTAAAATAAAATACTTTTAATAAAGCTTTGCCCTGTGAACATTATTATGCAATCCCATACTAGAATAGACTTGAAAAAATATGGTTCTGAAAGCCCTGATTCGACAAACACCTGTACATGTGACCAACTCTGTACACATATGTAGTACCATTAACTTCAATCAAATTACTTATCTGCGTGAAACTAAAGTGTTTGGAAGACTTGATTGACCTTTAAAGGAACTGGCAATTTGAATATTTGATTAATTTTAAGAAGTGCAATGTTTATACATGTAGAAGATAGGAAAGCATGGCATCTTAGACTCTAACTGATTCAGAAAGTAACAGTCTATTAAAAATACATAATCCAATCTTTATAAAATAAATTATAGAGAGTTGACTACTCCTTTTTCATGCTTATTAGAAAGATAATCTGGGTGGGCCTAAGAGCTATAATATTGGATGTCCTCTAGTCCCATTATTCTAACCGTTGCCCCTTCTCTTGGTGCAAAGACACTGTACTTTTTGGGTATCCTGAGAGGGGTACTGGGAAGGGCATATCATTAATAAAACACTGAAAGTGAGTATACATCATATCTTGTCAAATATACAACATGAAAGTTCTGTTATCCCCCCTCTAAACTTTCATTTACAGTCATTTTAAGATTTACATTTAATAGAGAGTAAACATTTTAATGGATTATGTTCTTAAAATTAGCACTGCTCCTTTATCTTTTATCTATTATAGCAATTACACTCATGTTATACATCATTTTGCAATATATTTCAAATTACTCCACAGTCTCCTCAAATTTTGAGAACAGAATGTTCAAAATGTAATGCTGGAACACAATAAAACTGTCACACTAAGCATAGGGTGTAACTTATTTAAAACTAAAGAACAGGATCAGCCGCTCTGGCTGCTAGCCAAAAATGATAAGGATATAAAAAATAATACAGCTATGTGAGCTGCTAGTATTAAACTGGTTATGTCCAAAAAGAACATCACACAACATTTTAGAATGTGTGTCCACATCCTTTTCATGTTGCCATAAAGATGTCAAAATTACATTCAGTTTTTGCAGGTGGAAATCTTTTTCTTTTCAGAGCTCTGCAGAAAAAAAACTTTCAGTGAAAAAGCTGCTTAAAAAATGAATTCCAGGCTTCTGATCTCCTCTCCCTAATAAAAATGACCAACTTTTTACCAGGGACTGCAAAAAGGGGTAACCCCAGTTTTCAGTTTTTATTGTCATGTTTATGCATATAATAAATACACTTTAGCTCTCAAGAGAGAGAATTCAAATGAATGACAATTTACAAAAAAATGACTTTAAGGACTTTGACCTTACCCAAGAAATATGTAAGTTACCAAGGAAATATGTAGGAAATATCTATCAGGAAATAGGTAGGTGAATTTACTGTTTAGCAACATAGTACGCTATTCTGCTTTGCCACTTTCTCTCTTTTTTGTGCAACATTCTCATTGGATACAAA